CCTGCCCTCTTGCGTGAATTTCTCCCCTCCTGCTCATCGCCATTGGCCTGTAGCAGGCTTTGTCACCATCTTAAAAGTCACCAAGCTCAAGTGTCCTTCAATGGATGGCTGGACAAAGATGCGGCACATGTATACAACAGAATGCTGCTCAGCCACGAACAATGAGATACGGCTGTTTGCGACCACATGGATGGATCTTGAGAGTATCGTGCTAAGTGAAGTAAGTCAGACAGAAAAGGACAAGAACCGTGTGATTTCACTCATGTGGACAGAAAGCGACAAAAGAAAAATGAGCTCATAGACACAACAGTATGGTGGTTACCAGAAGGGAAGGGGGGTGGGAGGGATGGAGAGGGTAAAGGGGGTCAAATACAGGGTGACGAGGAGCCTAGACTTTGGGCGGTGAGCACACTGTGGAGTGTACAGATGTCTTATAAACTCGTACACCTGAAATTTTATGTTATTAACCAATGTTACTCCAATAAATTAAAAAACAGACCCAGGGGCTCCCTCAGTCCCTGAGGGAGTCCCTCCTTCAGCTGCTGTTCTGCCTCTTCTACTGAGCCCTCCCTCCCAGCTTGGTCTTTGGTCCCTGTCCCCTTTGAGCCACTCTTTTCTTGCCACATCTCACTCTCAGTGGTTCTGGTTTACCGCCATCCAACCAACACTTCCAGTCACACAGGTCCGGAGGCACCCTGCCTGGGTCCGCTCACCCTCCCCTATCTGCTCCTCTCATCTTACCGTCCGTCCACCCCGTCACTCTGGCCTCTCGGGTGGAGTCAGAGGTCGGTCCCTTGCATCAGACTGTTGACCAAGTCCTGGAAGTGCTGCCTCTAAGATACATCTTGGGCCAGGCCACTTCCCGTCACCTCCATGGCCACCATCCCGGCCATGCCACCATCATCCTGGCATCAGCCCCAGCCTCGACCCGACACAGCAGCCTGAGAGCTTTTAAGATATAAATCACATCACGCCCCTCCCCCGCAGACCATGCTCCCAGGTTTTCCAATGGCACTCAGATTAAATCCTAATTCTCGCACAGACTGATAGCCATTCTCTGGGATTGGGGTCCCGCCCACATTTCTTCACTCTGCTTCACTATTGGCGCACGCCCCTGGGCAGCAAGGACCCCGGGCCTTGGTGTTAGCCACTGTTTCTCTGCCTGGGTGTTTCTACCCTGGGTCACGGTGTGGCTGCCTCTCTTCACACAGGACAATCGTCCCTGCGGAGGCCTCTCCTGAGCCCCAGGCTAAGGCAGGCCTTCTTGGGTTCTCACCTTCAGCACTGGCCACCACCAGTGACGTGTCCCTGCTGACCACTCGCCTGTCTCTCTCACTTCTGTATATTCCCAGTGGCCGGCACAGTGCCCGACACACAGTAGGCACCAAGCAAATGTGTGCTGATGAGTGGAAAGGGACCGTCTCAGCTCAGGCTGCTAGGACGAAACACCACAGACTCACGCGGTGGCTTCAACAGCAGACATGCATTTCTCACCATTCTGGAGGCTGGGAAATCTAAGGTCAGATGAGGGCCTCTTCCTGGCTGGTGGACGGCGCCTTCTGGCTACGGATTGAATTCACGGGGCCTTTCCTCACCTCAGTCCGTGTGGCAGAGAGATCTAGTTCTTCCTCTTCTCGTTACACCACTAATCCCTCATAAGGGTCCCCGCTTCATGACCTAGACTAAACCTAATGACCTTCCCAAGGCTCCACCTCCACACACCATCACATTGGGACTGGGCTTCAACATATACATTTGAGGGGGACACAAACATTCAGCCCATAACGAAGACCAACGATAACGCCCAAGCCTGCTTTACTAAAAAGAATCAGGTGAGCTGGAGAAAACCCAAGCAGCTGGAGGACCAAGAGAACCTCTTGGCCTCTCCATCCCGCTCTCAGCTCTGGAAAGGGCAGCTGTGCCGTGTCATATCTGGACAGGGTTGTGCTGGCGCCCCTGCCCGAGGGGCTGGAAGTGGGCACACGCATCCTTACCAGGCCGGCACTGGCAAGAGCTCAGCTGAGTCCTGGTCCCATTCGATAAAGCCACACATCTCGGCAGGCCTTCGGGCACGATGGACATACCTCATGTTCCCTTCTGCTCAGGAATCAGGTCTCGCTCCACTTTCCTGGCTCAGTCCCTCGCCGGCTGACTCTCAGGGCTTTCCCACCGCCCTTCACGCCCGGAACTCCCTCTGGCTCTGTTCCTTCCAATGGGCATGGAATGCTTAGCAAGACCCACCTTCCTTCCCATGAGACTCAGAGCCAGCCGGGTGCCAAGGTTATCGGCTCCGCTATTCTCCTCGCTGCTACTAAGGGTTACAAAGGATGATGGGGTACACTGCAGACATGAGGGGATTCGCGGGCTGCTTCCAAATGAGAGGACTGGCTTCTAATAAGAACTCACGTGTGAAAACGTATGATGTCATGGAAGTTTCCCAAGAATGTTCAGAAGCCTAGCACATTAAACAAACTGTCCTAGAGGGAAAAGGGTGAGGTGTAGTTAAAAAATCTCAGCAGGTAGAATTTCCTCTCAGGGTTTCCTAAGTCTCTGCGTATCTGGTGCTCACTGCTCCCCAATAATGAAAGCTCAGGCGGCGGCAGCAGCATCTGCAGGTGCCTGGGTCCTGCTGCCAGCTTCACGTATCACGAGTCAAGTGCGTCGGCCTCCGCTCCTTGTTCAGTGCTCTGGGCGGGGCCCCTGGCTTGGAAGGAGATTGATCCTTCAATCGAAGCCATGTCAGCTGGTGTCCTCAGCTTGAGCCCCTTACCTAATAATGACAACCAAGGACCTGCTGGGTTTCTCAGACCTTTACATGGATCACCACAAATCCTTTTAACAGCTGTGGCCAGTCCCATTTACAGATGAGCAAACTGAGGCTTCAGAGGGGTGATCACCTGCCCAAGATAATCCAAATGGCAGAGCTGGTAATCACCCCAGGTAATGAGTCCCATCTCTCCTCTGGCTTTGCAGGCAATGTTGCTAATGGTCGGGATGCCTGGCAGTGTGTGTGTGTGTGTGTGTGTGTGTGTGTGTGTGTGGTGGGGGGTGCCTGAAGCCAACCATGAGCTCCCTTCCTGACCAGAGTTCCCCCAGCCTCCCAAGCCCAGCTCCAATGCTTCCTGCAGGACCTGGGAGCATGGAGCCCTGTCCCTTCCCATCCCACACACAGGAGCTCCAGACTCTGAAGTGCAGCCCAACAATCCTACCACAGCCCCCACGCTCCATCTCCGCACACTCTTCTTCTGCAGCCATGGCCCCCGAAGAACCAGGACCCTGAGCTTGTGGCTGGGGGTAATGGGGAGGTTTTACGTGGGAACCACCTGAGGGCAGGTCAGCTGTTCTGAGACAAGCAAGCTGTGCTTCCCACAGGCAGGGCTCTGCTGCCTGCTCCTGGATGTGGCTGGCGGAACGGAAACAGAACCAGCTCAGAGCCACTTAACAGGGGCTTGCCCACGACTCCAGCCTGGAGGCAGGATGGTTCTTGTTTTCTTTTCTCCCAGGCACAGGCCAAGGAAGTACACAGGCCAAGCCATGCCTGCAGCCTGTTCCTCCAGGAGCCAGATTGGTGCTCTCAGGACAGGACAGAGCCCAGGGGGGGCTTCTGATCGCTGGATCAGAGACCCTCCTGGCTTTCAGGCAAGCGCATAACAGGACAGCAGCCCACCACAGAGGCGCCTGTGCCCAAGTCAGAAAGAGGAAGGTGGCCTACACTTCTCTCCCAGCTGTGAGGACAAAAGCAGCCACCCTCTCCATGCCCCACCTCCCACCCCTGGCCCCAGGGCTGCCCACAACCAGGCCACAACAGTAGCCAAGTCTGCTGCCAGCTCCAACCTTCCAGCACAGTGGCCCCAAGGGGCTGACCTAGCCCCAAACTGGCCTGCCGTCAGTCAAGCTGGTTCCATTCTGCAGGCTGCCCCAGGCCCCAGCTCCAAATGTCAGCCTACGTGTGTCTCTTCTCCTCAAAGGGTGCGTTTAGTTGTGGGGATGGTGAAGCAGTTGGCCCAGGACAAAGCACCTCAAGGGCTCCAGGCCTGACACGGCCCACGACTCTTCACACACTTGTTGAGTACTGACCCTGAACAGGCTATCTCCGAAAGTAGTCGTCCCAGTGGTATTCCAAAACCCCCCCCCCCCGCCTCCCCCCATCCTGGTCACTTGTTGCTGCCTCTCTCCCAAGTGCAATCAGCTGTGAGAGGCAGGGTCCGGGAAGGGGGGCCCAGCTTTCCAGCCGGTGGAGGCCCACCTAGGTGTCCCTTTGATGTCAGAACACAGACCCGGCGGCGTGTACTGTAGGTGAAACAGAAAGGGGTGGGTTGTGAGCTAACTCGAGAATCTTCTGGGGCACCCTGCTCCTTGCTGCAGTCATCCTGGCAGGCCTTCCTCTGTCCAACTGCGCCAGCCTCCTGGACGCCTCACAGGCATGGCCACTAGAGGGCGCGATCTCCCATCTGAACTCCCCACAGAGCTGTCCCCATCCATCCTCTTGGGCCAGGGCTACAACCTCTCAGGACTTTTCTGGGGGGCAGTAATGAAGTAGGCCCGCAGATTTTCTGCCCTGAAGGTATTTCCAATCCGGTAGGTGAGGGAGACAGATCCTAGACCAACAAGGAGTGCTGACCCAGCCTCTGCAGGGCAGCCTGGCACCCCCAGAGGTGGGCGGGGTGTGCCCAGCAGGGGTTGACAGAATAGGAGAGCCAGCCTACTCCCAGTGGCCGCCCTCAGACTCCCCTGAGAAGACGCCATGAACACAACTGCCCTTTGCAGTTTTCCTCCCCCGAAGACCTGCAGTCTGGGGGTCCTGCCTTCTTCTCCATGGCGATCTCCCCCAAATCACTCTAGTCCCTCTTCACTTGAGGAAGTCTGGAGAGTTCTCCCTCCTCCCCTCCCATCACACCTCCAGTGAGCTCAGGGGTAGCCACAGGGCCTGCCGGTAGCGTTTATTGAGTGCCTGCTATTTGTGGGGTGGGGGTGGGGAGACAGATTGGGGCATCCCAGGCAGAGAGGCGTGGTTGGGGTGGGGGTGGGGTGGGGGGCTGCTGGTGGCCGCCCAGCGCTATTCGGCTGTCGTGGGGCCGCGGCAGAAGTTCCGATTATAGAAGTGGTGGTTGTCCCTGGTCAGGGCCGTGCCCAGCTGGGCCCAGAAGCTGCCCTGGCCGCTGGGCTGGTGGGGCCAGAAGAGGACGCTTTGGCGGCAGAGGCGCTGGCGCAGCCGCACGTAGCGGGAGCGGTGGGCGCTGGGGCTCAGGATCACTAGCACCACGACGTCCTTACGGTCCTCCAGCAGGCGCTGTTGGGCCAGCAGGAAGCTGGCACGCAGGAGGCCGCTGACCCGGTCCGTGTGGGCCAGCACAAACAGCGTCTTGCGGCTGCTGTAGATAGAATCCCACAGGTTCTCAAAGAGACTCTTGCCAGGTAGCCAGTCCCGCTCCTCCAGACACAGGCGGAGCGCCCGGCGCCCACGGCGCTCCTCCAGCTGCACCCGCAGCTCGTTGTACACCCAGTCATCCACTGCGCCGTGCGCCTTGTCGAAGACCACAAAGGCATCGTAGGACAGGGCATCTGCACCCCGCTGGCGTCCCCACCGGGGCAGCCAGGCCAGGCCCAGGTGGAAGCAATACCAGAGGTCCCAGCCACAGAGGTGGTGCAGCGTGGGCACCGCCAGACCCAGGGCCACAGCCAGCACCGAGATGCCGAAACAGACCCAGGCGAGGCCCTCGTCCAGGCAGAGGCGCAGGTCCTGGGCAAAGATGCTGCGGCCCAGGAGCTGGCCTGGACTGCCACACCTGACGCGGCTGGACAGTCCAGGCACGGCAGCCTGCACCTCCAGCAGGAAGTCCACGAAGGCCTCCCCACAGGCGCAGTGCAGAGGGTTGGCGCTCACATCTAGGACTTTCAGGGTGGCCACTTGGAAGGTTCCAAACCAAGAGGGCTCCACCGTCTTGAGGGCATTGGCGCTGAGGTTGAGCACTCGCAGCTTCGTGGCCTGAGCGAAGAAGCCAGAGGCCACAGAGCTGATGCTGTTGTCGCTGAGGTCCAGCCTCTGCAGCCTGGTGCCAACAGGGAGGCTGCCGTTGGCCAGGGCCTTCAGCAGGTTTCCCGCCAGGTCCAGGGCTTCCAGCTTGGGCAGGATGCTCAGGGTGCTCCAGTTGAAGAAGGCCAGGTAGTTGTCACGGAGACGCAGCATCTGCAGGCTCTTGGGGAGGTTGTCGAGAGTGCGTGGCAGGAGGGCGTGCAGGTGGTTCCGGGACAGGTCCAGGCGGACCAGGTGTGTCAGGCCTTGGAAAAAGTGGAGGTAGAGGTCCCCCTCATTCCACATGCGATTCAGGTCGTTGCCACTGAAGTCCAGGGCCAACAGCGAGGTGCTGCAGAGCTTCTGGGACACGCGGCTGTGGATGGAGTTGTGTGCTAGGCTGAGGTAGCGCAGGGAGGGCAGCTGGGCCACGAAGCTGAGGTTGTGGCCCACGCCCTGCATGCTGAAGGCCTGGCTGTTGTCGCTGAGGTCCAGGGCCTGCAGACGCGGCAGCTCCGTGAACGAGCGCCCGTGGTACAGGTCCAGCTTGTTGTGGGACAGGTCCAGCACCTGCAGGCTGGTCAGCGGCACGAACTCCGAGCCATTGACCGCCTGCGAGATGCTGTTGTGACTCAGACGCAGGCACTGGAGGCGCGAGAGCCCGGCGAACATCTGTGGCCGGACGGTCACCAGGTTGTTCCGGGACAGGTCCAAGGTGAACTTGAGGGTCTTGCAGCTTGGCATGAAGTCATCGGGGCTGGGAGGTTCCAGGGGGGCAGCAGCAAGGCCCCTGAATGGCAGCCGGCCCACCTCCCCAGCATTGGTCTCCCCCTTGGTGGCCGCCAGCCCCTCTGGGGCCCCGCTGATGCGGTTGTTGGACAGGTCCACGTGGCACAGGCTGGGGAATGCCCTAAAGATGCTGAGGTTGGCCCGGTTGATGAAGTTCATCTGGAGACGCAGATTTTGGAGCGCAGGTAGGCCAGTCAGCGGCCGGAGTGTGTCCTCGTTGAGCGAGCGGAAGAAGATGCCGTTCATGTTCAGCTCCTGCAGGGAGAGCAGGCTCGCGAAGGAGGGTGCCAGCGACAGGTGGGCGTAGGACACCCCCTTGTGGTAGTTGAAGGACAGGTTGAGCTTGCGCAGCTGGGTCAGGCCCTTGAAGGCTGTAGTTTTGGTGATGCAGTCATACAGGAAGTTCTCACTCAGGTCCAACACCGAGAGGTTGCCCAGGCCACGGAACCAGTTGGTGTTCAGGCAGTAGAGAGAACTGTCTTTCAACACCAGGCCTTCCAGGTGGCTCAGGTGGCGGAAGGTGTCTTGGTGCAGCTTCGGGAAGCCCTTCGGGCACTCGATGCAGGGGTTGCGGGCGTGGTCGCAGCGGCGGCAGTTCCCACCCACATCAAGCACCCGCAGGGCTGTGAGATTGGCCAGGTCCTTGGGCCCCAGGGACACAATGCGGTTGTAGGACAATAGCAGGTTCTCCAGGCTGGGGGGAAGGCTGCGGGGCACCTCCGTGAGGTTGTTGTACTTGAGTGACAGATGGGTGAGGTTGCCCAGGCTAAGGAGGGCGCCCGGGGCCACCTGCGGGACCTGGCCGCAGGGGTTCTTGTAGTAGCAGTTGCCATCCATGTACAGGTGTCTCAGGGCATGCAGGCCCTTGAAGGTGGTATGATCGAGTTCCAGGATGTTCGTGCGGCTCAGGGACAGGTACCTGAGGGAGTTGGGCAGGGCGGGCACAGCCGTGATGTTATTGTAGCTGAGGTTCAGCACCTCCAAGGTGGGCACGACCAGGAAGGTGTTGGGCTCGATGGTCATGTGGCAGCTCCAGTGCAGGGCGCTGAGGCTGCTCGGTGGGCAGTTCCACTTGAGGTCGAGATGCTGCAAGCTGGACAGGTGGACAAAGTCGGAGTTGTGCAGATGGTGGATGCGGTTGGAGCGCAGGGACAGGCTGGTGATGTTGCCACGGGGCGCGGCCGCTGAGAAGTGGGGCACAGACTTCAAGAACAGCCATTCACAGTTGACCCGGCTGGGGGCCTGAAACTCACAGGGCAGGAAGGCAGGCAGGGTGCCCTGGGCCAAGGCCACAGCCAGCATGGCAGCCTGCACCAGGAGAGACCAGGGGAGCAGGGCACCGCGGCAAGGGCCCTGTGGGGGTGGGGCAGTGAGTGTGCAGCCCTAGCTTCACCTCGCCCGCCTAGCTTCAGGGAGTCCCCCACCAAGCCCTCCCCAGGGAGGTCCCTGCCTCTCTGTCCAGCCCCCATCCCACCTCCAACGCTCGTGGGGAGCCTGGACTTGGGTCTCAGACCGACCTTTGACTCAGAATTGCTTCTGAGACCTGGAATCCAGGCTCATGACCTAGAGCTGTCACTCAGTACCAAACCCTGGTTGGACAAGAGAGCCAGGCAGGTGGTCACCAGGCCCACCAGGCTCTCCCTGACCTCCCCCTCCCCTGCCTCAGAGGCCACTGGGCATCGGGCTGCCTGCCCTCCACCAGCCTCTCCCCATCCCCTCCCCTCTCCCTTTGGAATTAGGGTCCCCTGCTGGGGTCCAGGCTGGGTATCAACCAGGGCCCCGGCTAGGGTGGGCACTTCACTCAGCCCAAGAGCACTCGCCCTGCTGTGGGCCGGGACGGGTAGAAGGGAGGGGTGGGCAGCAAAGGGTCAGGCAGAGCCCAGGCCGGGGCGCCCAGCCTTGCCTGCAGCCCCAGCGCCACCACTGAGCCCAGCCCTGGGCCTCAGCCCCCTGATCCCTGCAACGGGTTTGGGCCACATGCTCAAAGAAGGGCTTCTGCTCTGATGGCTTCAGGGTTCAGGGAGTGTCCCCCGGGCCATGTGGGCAACAGCCCCTTTCACTATTGTCTGCAGCCTCCAAGCCCGCCTTTCTCCGACGGTTCCCCAGGCTGTCCCCTTCCCTGGGGGGCTGAGGGCTGCTGTCCTACCATGACAGGGAGCGAGGCCTTCTCCAGAGGGTCTTCCTTGGTGCTCCCGTCTCTCCTGCTGCGAAGCTCAGAAAGCAGAGGAAGTAAGACTTTCACAACCTAGTAGCCCTCTCTCCCACTTGCCCATGCCTGGGAGGTTGGGGGGGGGCACCCAATGAGTCACAGATCATTTGCATAGTCGGAGGCCCCCTGGCTCCTTCCTCTTTCGCTCCCTCTCCCCCTCGCCCACAGCCTGTCCTCACAATGCGTCACTCCTGGGCCTCGCACCTGTCCTCTGGGAAGACGGCCTGGAGCCCAGCCTAAGCTCAGTGAGAAAATGGAATCAGGGGCAGTGCCAGACCTGGAGGGCATGTCGACACCCGTGCCAGCCTCTTTCACCCTCATGCCTAGGTCCCCTCAGCCCAGGGGAGCAGGTCCACAGGCAGCATGCTCAGCCGGTGGCTCCCGCACCTGCCCCTTTCTGGCCCTGTGGCCATGTCCCCAGAGCTCTGGGGGCCCTGGTGTAGCCAGAGGCGGGCAGCATTGGCCTCACCCTGACTGCACCTGCTGCTACCACAGCCTGTCGCTTCCTCCAGGAGCAGGGCCTCCCTTTCTGCATTCCCAGTGCGCCTGGTGCTGGTCAGAGCACAGACCGCTTGGTGAGCCAGCTGGGGCCTCTGCTCACCCTCCCCAGCTGGCTCTTCCCATGCGCCTCAGGCCCGAAGCCTCAGGGTGACCCAGGACGCTCAGCAAGTCCCGTTATCTGCACCTTCAGACTCGGCTCAGAATCTGCCCGTCACCCACCACCTTCACGTCCACCAGCCTGATCTGAGCCGCCACCATGTCTGGTCTAGACCAGCGCTGTGGCCACCTCCTCCCGGGTTGCCCTGCTTCTGTTCTCATGCCCTACGGCCTAGTCACATTCGGCTCCTAAGCCACATGAGGTCCCTCTGCCTAGACCCCTCCGTGGCCCTTGTCAGAGTCAAGGCCACAGTCCACATAATAGCCAACAAGGTCCCATGGCATCCGCCCTCGCATTGCCTCCCTGACCAGTCTCCAGCCACACTGGGCTCCTTGCTGTGGCTTGAACACATCTGCTGTGCGTTCTCCTGTCCCAGGGCCTTTGAACGTACCGTTCACTCTGCCTGGAAGCTCCTCTCTCAGACTCCCATGGTGCCTCCATCACCTCTTTCATGTCTTTGCTCACATGGCACCCTCTCAATGAGGCCTTCCCTGGCCTTCTTATAAACCTCCCACCACAGGTCTGACACTTCTGAGCCCCCTTTCCTGCTGTTTTTGTCATAAGAGTTTTTACCTGCTAATACACCATATCATTGATTTTTCATGGTTTGTCATATATTAATTGCCCTGCTGGAATGTCAGCTTCTTGAAGGCAAGGATCTTTTCTGTCTGTATCCCTAGGGCCTAGAACAGTGCCCCGCACATAGTAGTTTGCTGTATCCATGGCTCTCTAAGCACTCAGCTCTGGGCGGGCACAGAAAGAGTGCCTTTGAGTGATGGTTGAATGAATAAATGGATGGATGATGGATGGATGGATGGATGGGTGGGTGGATGGACTGACAGGGCGTCTGCTGGGAGTGGGCAGGGCTGGACATCTGGGTGGGTGTCATGGCAGGCAGGCTCCAAGCTGCCAGGCACCCAGCTGGCTCACAGGCCCAGGGGGCTGAGCAGCCTGGGGACAATGGCATGGTCTTCCTGTCCACCTGGGAACCTCCTTCTCTGGGTCTAGCTCTCCTCCCTACAATTCTCGGGGCTTCAGCAGGCCCTCAGAAAGGCCCCAAGGATGGGACACTGCCTTGAGCCCAAGCCCAGGACACGCTCACAATAGAAAGGACAGTGCCCATGTAGCAGCTGAACCCCATAGATCCCACATGTCCCCACCCCTGCACACCTCCCTCCTGGATGGGAGGGGCCTTCCACCCACCCATCAGAGGCATAGACGGAAGCTCAGGCTCCCGGAACTGCTGGGACCCAGACACCCAGGTCCTCTCCACCGCCCCAGCAGCCACCCTGCCTGCCTAGGGGTCAGGAACACAGGTACCAAGAGGGCTGGTAAGCTGGCAGAGAAGTCTGCACACGCACACACGGACTGGACACACCAAGATTTCAGATGTCCACAGACACACCCGCCATGCCTCAGCCCCACAGAGGCCAGGAAACCCAGTGGTCAGAGCTTCCTCAGTGTGGCAGGCCGAAGGCTGTCCCCAAGGAGACCCACGTCCTAATCCCCAGGCCTGTGAATGTGATCTCACACTATAAAAGGGGCTGCTTTCCCCAGTAGCCTAATGGATAAGGCATTGGCCTCCTAAAAGGGGCTGCTTTGCAGGCAGAATTAAGGATTTTGGAAAGAGAGAGTATCCCACGTTACCAGGGAGAGGGGAGGTGACTACAATTACAAGTGTCCTTACAAGACAGGCAGACAGAGATGTGACTACAGAACGAGACCCCGTGACCATGGGAGCAGAGGAAGTAGAATCAGAATTAGAAGATGCTATGCATCTGGCTTTGAAGATGGAGGAAGTGGCCACGAGCCAGGAATCAGGGGGCCTCTGGCCGCTGGAAAGGCCAGGAAACAGATGCTGCCCTGGGCTCCAGAAGGAGCCAGCCCTGCCCGTGCCTTGGTTTTCGTCCTGCAAGATTCATTTCAGACATTAAGAACTGAAAGACAACAACGTCGTGTTGTTTAAAGCCAGAGTTTGGGGAACTTAGTTATAGCAGCCATAGGAAACGAACACACCCAGATCCTCATGGCCATCTCTTGGGCCGAGCTCTCATCAGCACAGGGACCTGTCTGAGGCTGTGCCCTCGCACACATGGGCACAGACTCACCCAGACACCTGTTGCCAGGGGTGCTGGGGCTCCATCCCACAGGCCGACAGGCCCTTCTGAGTTAGGAACGGGCAATTACATGCACAGGGCCTCCCCGTGCCCAGGTCAGAGGTGGTCCCTCAAGGCCAGACTCAGGGGTTGATTTAAAAATACTTTATTCTTTAAAAAATACAGCATTCAACCATTTTGTCTTGCAGTGACACTATGCCCCAGCCCTGACCGAGCCCACCCCCTTGTGGCCAAAAGCTTCTGGGCTGTGCTGGGGCGCTAGTCTCAGTTCCCTTGGGGGCCCAGGTGCATGCCAGGCCCCCCTTCCAGCCCCTTGAGACAGCCAGGCAGGGTCCCCAGACACTCTGGGCACACAGATGAGAGGCAGGGAGAGCAATGGCCGAGGGTCACAAATGCCAGCCCAGTGGCCCTCAGAAGCTGCAAGAGTATTCAGTCACCAGCCTTCGTGCCCCACAGGAGGCAGCGATGCCCTGGAGCCCAGGCTGGGAAGGAGGAAGGTGACAAGGAGCGGTGAGGCAGCCGGCGCGGCGCAGGTCCAGCCTCCTAGCTGTCGTCCCCATTCTCGCCGGGGCCGCGGATGAGGCGCTTGTGGCCCCGCTTGCCCCCGGGGCCCTTGGGCTTGGCGAAGGCCTGCTTGAAGGCATGCTGCTTGGGGTGCACTTCGTCATACAGGAACTCGGCCGTCAGCTCTGCCCCGTCGCCAATCTCGATCTGCGTGGGGCGAGACAATGGTCACCCCACCGGTGGAAGGCACAGGCACGCACCACCCTTGCTCTCTCACACCACAGCTTGGGGTTTCCTGCCAGATCCCCGTCTGGAACGCCACCTCCGGGACACAGAGCCTGGGGCCTGCTGCCCTGCACACCTTGCTCACCTGTCTTCCAGACCCGGGCACCAGGGCTAGGGCTTGTCCAGGCCACCGGTCAGCAGGGCAGCCTGGCACAAGGCATGTTATCCCTTGGGCCTCAGTTTCCCAATCTATCCAGCAGGCAACAGTGACCCCTGCTCTGCCAGTGTCTCGGAACTCCAATGCCCCATATGGAAGGGGGGGATGATGGCCCTGGGGAATGGGCACCCACCTTCTTGGAGATCTCCAGCTGGAAGTCCTGCTCCACGGAGTCGAGGAGACGGCTCTTACAGCTGGAGTAAAGCATGCGTTCCTTGATGCTGCACTTGTAGCCTGGCATCGAGTAGATGAACACTGGTGGGGGGGGGGACGGGGCAGTGAGCGAGGCAGGCCTGGGGGACGCACTGGCCCCCCCCCACCACAGGCCCACCGCTGGAGGCCAGCCCTGCTCCTGCCCGGGCATAGGGGCCCTGCTGTGGCCACTCACCCACAGACTCGAGGCGGTCACCCTCATGAGAGTGCTTATAGAGGAAGAAGTGGTAGCGGGCGGCTTCTCGGGGCACCCGTGAGGGCAGTTGGGCCACGTCCGTGGGCTCCGTGTGCACCAGCTCAATCGTCTCCCGCTCCAGGTCCAGCTTCTGCCGAGGGGCAGGAGGATGTGAGGGTGCTGGACAAGGGAGAGCGCAGGCCTACCCACCACATGAGAATTCCCCGAGGTGGGTGGGCTGGCAGGCAGGAGCCTGCATGTGATTACCCTCTGCCGGGACACCCCTCCCCAGCAGCCACCCGCCATGGAGGTCCCTCTGCAGAGGCCACTCCTGGACCGAGCCCTATCTGCCCCTTTGAAAGCTCTGCTGGACAAGGCAGTCCCACCAAGGGTGGTGGACAGGACAGTGGAAAGGGCCTGGATTGCAGGGAGGCCCCACAATTGGGCTGGCTCATCCTCAGAGGCGAGGCCTTTAGGGGACTATGTCTTGGAAAGGAAGGGCCATTCTGCTTGAAAGGGGGCAGCCTGGACCACTGGGGCAGAGGGATGATCAGGGGGGGCTGCAGAGGGAGCCTGGGACAGGAGGGGGCTCAGGCCTGCATGAACCCAGGCGTGGGTGTATGTATGCAGTGTGGCGGGCAGAATGAGGGACAGTGTCACAGGTGTCCCTGCATACGAGCAGGGACAGGGCAGGGAAGCAGGGTGCATTCACGATATAGGGCAGCTGCACCAGAAATGGCGACAGGTAGGGACGGGAGAAGGTGAGCTGGGCAGTGTGTTCCCACCAGTACACAGGTGAGCTGCACTGAGCAGGCTGGGGGGAAGGTGTGCGCGTTTGCGTATGTGTATGAGCAGGCAGGGGTGGGCACAATGGGGCCCTGTGGGTGCCTGGGTGGGGAGTGCACCCACCAGCTGGATGTAGTTGATGGTCTTCTGCTTGAGCTGCTGGAGTGCCCGCTGGGCCTCAGGCTGCAGGGGGAAGGCGAGGCCCTGCAGCGTCTGGTGCTTGCTCTCCACGCTGATCTCTGTCTTTACCTGAGGCAGGTGAACAGTGAACGAGGCCCTCACCTGCCCCAACCAGACGTAGCCCACCCACCACCCAGAGAGCACAGGCTCAGCCCTCTGGGCCTGACATGACCCCGAGGGCCCGGGGCTGGGATTCCGCACACCCTGTCTGTGCACCCACCTCATTGATCCGGATCTGCTGAAGCTCTCTCTCGGCCGAGGTCAGTGGGGCGGGCGCTGCACAGGATGACAGGTGCTTCTGGTATCCGGCAAAGGAGAGGTCGTCCTGGCCAGGGGACGCAGAGGCATGAATGGGCACCTCGGAGTGGGCTGCCAGAGCCACTGAGCACCCCGGCCTGCTGCCCCGTGGACCCCCCCAGCCCTCCCCACTCATCTCCAAGCGTGGTGCCTGCTTGCTCTGCGACCCTGAATCATATCCCATCCTCTGTGGGCCCTGGACTGGGGACACTACCTTCACAGTTCCAAAGAGCTCGTCCTTGACGTGGCCGCCCCCAAACTCCTTCTTCACCGTGGCCCGTGTGGCTGCGTAGAGCATCTTCAGTCGCACCTGAAGGACAGGGGGCCAAGCCGTGAGGGTGGGGGCCTGGTCACCTCACTGCCCTAGAGGGCACAGCATGGAGGCGAGGAGGGAGCGGGGAGGCTCGGACAGAAGGGGGCGCCCTCGCCCAGCCCAACCTCTGCCTCCCAGCGCCAGGTTGCTGTGGCCACAGGGCTCCAGGAGACCCAGGACCTTGTCCCCTCTCAGACTGTCACCCCGCAGGCTCCCCGGGGCAGAGCCCTGCTGTCTCGCCCAGACTCCCACTTCCCCCTATGCTGGGACTGGGCAGGGGGCCCTAGGACTCACGGGGGAATTATCAGGCGACCAGGCGAGGAAGAGCCACTCGAAGCCCTGGGTGTTCTTGGAATCCAGGCGGTACAGCAGGTAGCAGGGCTGCTGGGCATCCAGCAGCGGCAGCACGGCCCTGTCATAGTCCTGGTCCCAGCTGCCCACCGGCTCCCGCGAGGCACCCAGCACGAGCTGCTCTGGGGGCAGAGGCCGGGTGAGCCAAGAAGTAGCCATGTCCTACACTCCCCTCTGGATGTGACTCAGACCTGCTGGCCACCCCACCCAACCTCCCCTGGAGCCCCCAAGTCCCTGAAGGACGAGGCTGTGTGACTGCATCAGTGAGCGAGTGAGTGAGTGAGTGAGTGAATGAATGAATGAGTGAGTGAATGAATGAAGGCACAAAGCTGCCAGCTAGAGGCTGCTCCCTGTGCACATGCACAGAAACTGTCGTGAGAACGTGCTCACAGATGACCCGACACAATCATACAAGACATACAGATGTGTGCCCACAGCCACCAACAATGCAGCCTCCTCACATAGCCACACACGGGGGTGCTCGCTCAGACCCCACCCCACCAGCACAGCTGCTCAGCGCACAGCCCCACTGTGCCGCCTCCGGCTCCTCTCCCCCTCGGCCTGGGGCTCTAGCAGAACCCCTAGCATGGCCTGCTCAGAACAAATGTTCTGAGGGAGGCAGGGGTCACAGCCTCAGGCCATGGGGACCTGCAGAAGCAAACGTATGTGGGAAAGGGAGACAGGGGCTCCCACCAAATACTGTGTCAACAGGGATCCTGCTGCCACCCACCAGCTGTGGCCCCCTTCCCCCAAAAGTAACAAATCAAAAGTAGCCAACTCCTCGATGCCTGGGGCCGACAGGCCTGCCACCTCCATGCCTGCTACTGTGGCAACACTTGACCTATCAGCCCAGAGGGCCTTAGCTGGGCACCAAACAGCAGCCCAGCTGTGCAACTGGGGCAAGGGGACAATCACCCCCTGGCCAGGGGGTCCTGGCACCTGGACCACTAGGCCCTCCTGACGGGGGCAAGGGGCCCCAACATGTCAGATCCAGCAGTCCAGCCACCTCTCTGCAGGCCTCGACCTCCTCACCTACCCTCCCAGAACTCAGCTGGGATCAGGGCTGAAAACCAGCAGTCACAGGCTGGGTCCGCCCCATAGGACTGTCGACATTGTTTAATTTGTTGCCATCATTTCAAATTGGGAAGTTCTACACAGGGAGTGGAATTCATGGCTTCGCTAAAAACATCAGGAGTTTGTCCACTCTCAGTTGGAGATGGGCAGTGGCTGCCCATCAGGGGACCCGGACCCTCCTGGGCACTCCCAGCTGCCCTGACAACTGTAAGCAGGTCTGAGACAGGTAAGAGCTCACCTAGAGAGCCCTCCTGCTCAGTGACGTCCTGTCTGGGGGGCGGCAGGAAGGGCTGAGGACTAGAGTCCATGAGTCTGTCTCTTCAAGGGGCCTGCCACCCCACGAAGCCTTTACTCATGACTCACCACAATGACCCCAACCCAGCCTCTGAAGGCATCTGAATTTGGAGACCCTGGGCAAGGCCCAGCACAGCTCTGGCCCTAAGACCTGGAGTGAATTCTGGGTCTGGGAAGACCCTGCTTTGAGTCAATTCAATGTGTGAAAAGTCATCTGGGCACCAAACCCATTTGGGGAGCCAGCCCCCTGAAGGGCCCAAGAAGGACCTGTGAGGGGCCCAACCCCAGTCCCAAAGTCTGTCCTCCTCCAGAGACAGCCCCTCAGCACAGAGGAAGGGCGGAGTCCTCTACTCTGCCCCCCCCCTTCCTCCATCCCCAAGCCTCAATCTAATCCTCTCTCTCCAAACCCTCCCCACTTCAGGCCTCAGCTCAAGCTCTCCCACCACCCCCACCGTCTGCCCCTCCCCCTGCATAAGCCCCAGGTCTCCAAGGTCCAGGCCGAGGCCAGCCAAGCCTGGAATTCACTCATCTTGCTGTCAAAGGGAGTTGGACACCAGTCCCTTGGCTCCGTTCTGGGGGCGCTTCCCAAGGGCAGGGTCCCGGCTTCTCCTTAGGACCCCCCCGGGCCAGCAGCCAACCACAGACGGAGGGGAGTGGCACTGGCCACATGGGGCAGTGCCCGGCGTCGCTTATCTTCTGCCCCACTTCCCAGCCCTTCCCATACCTACATGGCCTCCGGGGGGGCTGGGCAGTTCCCCAGGGTCGGCTCTCCTTGCTATCCCCCCAGTTTCCTGTTCTCTGTAACAGGGGCAAGGATCAGGCTTCCTACAAGGCACCTCCCATTTCCAGATGGGGAAACTGAGGTCCCGAGGGTCTGGAGGCCAACGTCCCCCACCTCCCAGAGAAGCAGCGGGGCTCAGCACCCCACCTACGCTCTAGCTCGTAGTGGGCACTCACCATCCTCAATGGCGACTTTGATGAGCCGAACAGAGCCAGCCCGGGCCTTGGCAAAGAATTCCTTCAGCTCCTCAGTGGCTATAAGAACAAGAAACATGGTCGGGGATGAGCCGGCAGAGCGAGTAAGGCGGCAGGGAAATGTTCAGGGCCTGCTCCGTCCTGTGGGGTCCTAGTGGCTTAGCTGCGAGCCGGGTTAAATACGGCCCCCCATGTGACTGGGAATCTGAGATGACCGCTGAACACAAGCTCCCAAATTTAGCCAGCAGAGGTGGCAGGCGGTGGCCTGCTGGCTGGGGTAGCTCTGGTGACAGGGCGGTGGGAATGGGACAGCCCACTGGAGGATGGGGCGGGCTCTGCGGCCCGTCAGGCCAACCAGAGTGAATGGCCCCAGGATGGCCCATCGCCGAGCTGGCCTGGGACCGCTCTGCACTGTCATAACCACAGACAGAAACACATGAACAAATGCCCCTGATGTGCACTGACCCCTATGCCCATTAACACACACATACACACGCGCATGCGCTGAGTGTTGCATGTGCCAACAAACAGGTACATACTCAGCCTCACATGTGTGAACGCATCAACACGTGTGGGTGACAGAGAGAGCGGTATGAATGCAAACACCCTCGTCCACGAGCACGCACTCAGCTGGTGTAACAAACGGACACACGCATTTAGACATGCACACACACAGCCGGACACAGTGCCCAGGGTGCTTATACACACGCGGACAGGCAAATGCAGAACGTGGTGAAGACATGTCTGCAAAGGATGTATAAAGTATGCACAGAAACACACAGGCATGCACTGACACGTGCATGCAACTTAGCTCCAGCCCCCCAGCCAGGCTGCCTAACCCTGAGAGGCCCTGAGGGGCCAGCTCAGCCCTGGCCCAGCCCTGTCAGGGGGTGACAAGCTCCCAACCCCTAGGCAGTCAGGAAGGCTTCCTGGAGGAGGAACGACTCTCAGGAACTCCCCTAAACAGATCCTGTCTTGGTCCTTGGGCCACAGAGCTCAAACGTGACAGCTAACGACCAAGGACCCAATTGCAAAGGTAAGGGTCACGGTCAGCGCTAGGGACCCATAGGAAGACACACCCACCGTGGTTCAGACAGAGAAACCAAGGTCCAAGTGGGGAAGGACCCACAAGGGCCTCTGGGTTCACAAGGCTGGCCAGCATGACCTTGAGGCTGCCCAGGGGTCAGGAGAATTCTGCAGGAACACAGCTGGAGGGCTGAGGTCAGAGAATATTTATAGGGCTGAGGCTGGGTAGCTCGGGTTGCGGGGGGCTTTAGGAAAACAAACTCTGGTCATGTCCTCAGGTGCCCCTCACGTGGGGTGACCTGAGCTGGAGACCGCCGGCTGTGCACCACCCTCCAAGACTGCTGGGTAGGCAGGGTCCCAGCTGAGTCCACAGTCCTTGGGGCTCAGAGCAACATGGCATGGAGACAGGGCCCCACTATCCATCCACCTACAGAACCCAGGCAGGTCCCTGATGGAGACCTGGCCTCTGGGACTCCACCTTTCCCGTAGCTGTGTGTGACCCCTGGCCTCCATGAACCTCAAATTCATCTATAATGTGCATCTCATGCTTCCAAACTGCGGAGGGCTGTGGTCAGGAGGAAGGAGAAAGCGCTGGGTAATGGGGCCTCGACTAAGAACATATTCTTACTGTAGTGACAGGAGGACAGGCTGTGCGGAGCTGTCCCTTCCACCTGCTCAGACCTTTTGGGAGGGAAGGCTGAGAAGCTCCCCCAGAGAAGCTGACACACCCCTTCTAGTATTACCAGGGCAGTGACACTCCAGAAGGGGAAGAGACAAC